GGAAAAAAAGAACAATTTTTTCTTTCTTTCCTATCACGACATCTATTTTCTGATCCCTAGATATTAGTAATGTTCATGAAAGCAGTTACTGGGTAAGGCTTGCTAACTCCTATTTCTCCAGCATCCACCAAGTGCTTATAACTCGGGGATTTCTCAATTAAAATGAGTAGGATTAATTAGTTAAAAAGACTAATGAGTCCCATGAGACTCCCTTAAGGAGCTCCACTGAACAGGTCCTCTAAAACAATGGTTTGAAGTGATGCAGCCTTGGAGGGAAGAATGGAGATTGCAGGGCTCTGGAGTATCCATTGTCCTTCTGGTTTTCAGATATGCAGAGCTGGGTACATTCAGGGCCAGAAGAACCCCAGAGTATCCATGTGTCCACATCTTTCAGTATAGTTTGACAGGTCAGCAAATGGCACCAGATACCATGGTAATGAGTTTAAAGACATGATTTCAAAGACCTTAGTTGCAAGATTTTCTCAGCTTCATAACCATAGACTGAATAGTCTTCTTGTCCTAGACCAGGACCTGACACTAGTCATACAGTGAGCCAGGGTACTGATCACATAATGGCCCTAATTCGGGTGCAGATCCTGAGACTGTCCAGCTATGTGACAAATGAAACATTTTCTGCAAGGAGAACAAGGAGACTAGGGACACAAGGAAGCAGAACCAAGGGTGTGTGTCTTCAGGAGAGGCCAATGACATTACCATCCACTGTATTAAGAAAAAATTAAATGCCTTTAAAAGTGTACATTTGTATATGGGCATGTGCACACACATGTGAGTGTGTGTGCATACACAATCACACACTCTATCTCTCTCACACACACATACACACATACTCTCTTTCACACACACACACGCAAACACACACACATACACACACTCTTTCTCTCTCCCACACACACACATTCTCACTCACTCACATACACACACTTTTGTAGTATAGAGAACAGGTACTTAAGTCATCAAACACAGAAGTACAAATATTAACATTTTATGTCAGCTGCAGTTCCAAAACTGTGTTCCCATTTCTGAATCCTTGCTAATTATTTTTACCAAAGTACAACTGACCTTTGACTTGGAACATCAAATTAAAGATTTACCTCAGACTCCAACTGGTGTTCCTGACTAAATTCTTTCTCACCAGCTGGTGACCTATATAAAGCTCAAAATGCCCACGGTAATCTCTGGCTTCCCATTGGTTTGGGGATGGAGTTATTACTTCTTTGCCTCGGATTCAGCAGAGGCCTGCCTTATTCTAGTCTCACCTCCTGCCTTTCCTCATCCCCACTGTGCTGAGCATACCGTGCTGCTTTGCGTGTGCGCTCAAGGTGGACCTTTACACTCATGGCTCTCACCATCCTTTGTCTGCCTGTCCGAGGCTTACACTTCAAGCCACACTTTCACCATTACCTCTTTCTGAGAATCCTCCCAGACCTTTTTAGGTTTGTCTGCTTCTCAATGTCTGGCACTATCATGTCCTGGAGTGCCTTCTATCATAAAATCTTATGTCTGTGCCTCCCACTAGTCAGAGCTTCTTGAGGACAAACCTGTATCCTAGTCATTTTCTTTTCTTCCTGCTCAGCATGAGGACTGGTACATTACAAGCTTTTAGTGAATTCGGATGAAAAAGGAAAGCAATTCTATGATGAGCACGCATTGAGAGGTAACTGCACATACAGCCACATGCTGCTGTCCCACGTGTGTCATGCTATTACATTTTCCTAATAGCTACTGTGACCACTCAGCATGCTTGACAAAGCCCTCTTCACTCAGCATCCTAATAGGCGCCAATATGATTCCCCCAACATAGACAGACTGCCCAGAGACCCTGCCTCCAGTTTCAGGTTCTGCTTTCTATCGGTTTACCTCATTCTTCCGCTGTCTTCTCTACTTGACCTATTCAGACAGGATCTAGAGTCAGACTCCATGATTCATTGTTGACTTCCATTCTGGACCATTAACCTCCATCCTAGCTTCAAGCTTTACAGTCTATCTGGCTGACCTGTTTTGGGTTAGGATCTATTATACACCACTGTCTTCCAGGGTCCAGCCTATGGAATGGAAGGCACATTACGGGGCTCACACTCACACTAACCTCCCCTTGGCTAATGTTTCCAAAGGTATGCTCAGTTCCCTTGAATTTGCTTTGGCACCAAAGAAGCAAAAGTATCAAATGCACTGTTTTGTCAACTTTTCTTTGTAACCGGTATTCAAAACTAGTGTAAGAGACACCACCTTCAGCATCTTAAGCAGTTTTTCATGGTATAGTGGTCTAAAAAAAGTACCTGTGACAATCTGGGGAATATACCAATTTCAGTTTTCTCTGTTGTTCCCAGCACACCAAACTATGAGGTAAGATTTTGGAAACTATGAAAACAGAAAGTGCTTTGGCATTGGCCAAAACGGGGTTGAAATGTTCCCTCTCCTTGGGGTCTTGTCTTCTTTGCAGGAGTTCTAAACTAGCACTATGACCTGATTATCAAATATACAGTACGATGATTCTATGAGAGACATTTTACATGCAAACTCTAATAATCATTTGGGGCTAATTTACTGAACTTCTCAATGTCTTGGTTTCTTCATCTGTGATATGGTGATTAAATTTCTTGAATTGTTCACAAGATTCAGTGAAATAATCTCTAAAAAGTTACCATCATTTCTGGCCCAGCAAGGAGCTCACAAATATTACCTTTTGCTTACCATTGCTTCCTTTCTTTGGGCCATTACCATCTGTGCCTATGTAGCCTGCAGATCCATGACCATCCCTCCAAGGTCTTTTGCCTGGTTCCTTTCCTTTCCTTCTCATCTAATTGATGTGTTGTGCTATAATCAAAGCCTTCTTTCCAAAGGTATACTTGATAATATGACTTCTAGATTAGGAACCCTAATTCTGATACTCCATTCTGGAGTTGTCTATAGATAAAGCATGAGCAGGGTCTCCTGCTTTGTAGAAAGGACTCTCATTTACTAGGGACAAAGAGTATTTCCCTGTGCCCCATCATGTTACTGCCTCAGAGGGCTTAAATAAATGTTCCAAGGACCTATGAATACCATCTCCTTAGCAGATCTGACCACATAACTGACACCAGCTAAAGAGTCATCAGGTAAGCAGGAAAGGAAGGGTGCATGAGGTGAGGAAGAGGAGTGAATTCAGATAAGCTGAGCTAACTAGCTTGGAAGCACTCCCATTGGAGCTGGGGATTTCAGAGGCTGGGTGGGGGGTAAAACTGAAGTAAACACTGAAGGAAATTCAGGGTTGTCTGGGAAAATGGAATGAAGTTCAAGTCTGGGTGCAAAAATGCATGCCACAGATGGTGCTCTCTTCTCTCTAAGCACTGGCAAGTCAGAAAGAACTCAGGTTTTACTCTAGATTTAATCACTGTTTAGTGGGGATGATGTGCCATGATGAGTTTCAAGACTACCTTTAATTGACTGGGTACTGGAAAGACATCCTTCTTGAGTTCCCTTATTATGAAATAGCTTTGCAGTAAGACTAGCCAAATACCCATCCATTTGTTCAGAATCCCCGTGCTTCCCACAGACCCCTGCAGTGCATTAGACCCCAGACTGGAGATGTAGAAAACAAACCAATATGGTCCTTAGACTCAAAGCATTCATGGCTTAGTTGGGAGAATGTCCCACATGTAGTGACAACAGTGGGTTAGAAGTATTCTGGGGCTTGACAAAAAGAGTATTCAGGAAAGTTTTCTTATAAATGATACCTAAGCAAGGTTCTAAGAAAGCAGTTTGTATTAAAGGAGTTACTTCAGCTCATTTGAAAGGGTTAGACCTTTGTTATTGTAGTTGCATAACAGTATGCTATCACTTGATATTTTGGAGCATTTAGATATGTAGGGTAGACTAGTTGTCCAGCAGATCCCTTGCTTTGGGGATTTAAGCTGTAGTGCCATATCCTTATGGGAAGTTCTTCAACTGTAGACCAGGGATGATATTATTGCTTGTGAAGATTTCATAGCTGAAGAGCCTGATGGCCGTTAGGTGGCATGAAAAGAAGAGCACATTTCCTGGGACTGTCTTAGGAACCCAGTGTAGTGAGCAAAAGAACAGTATACAGGGAGGGCAACTCCGCCCTCCACCAGACATATATGACTCAAGTTCCTTAAATGAACTTCAGTTCCTTTGTCCAGTGAGGACAATACTACCTTACGTAGCAGGTAAACAGTAGTTACTGGTCTCAAACCTCCCATTCCCACACCATATGGGCCCCTCCTTTGTCCCGTTTCCCATCTGTGAACAGGACAGGATGGAGAGGCTCTATGTAGTCAAAGAATGAAAGAATATTCTCTAAGGGCTCTTTAGCTTTGACATCCCATGCATAAAACAACAGCCAGATTGGACCATTGCTTAATTCTATCCAAACTGCCAGATAGGCATTTGAATAAGTAATCTAATATATACATTTTTATTCTATTCAATATTCAGGTCGACTCCTGGTTGGAATGAGTATTCAGAATGATGATTGCTTAGAAACATACCATTCCAAATACGAATGAGAATCTTTTTTTCAATCCTCAGTTCAGCAAGGATGAGAAGGCATGAGATTAGGTTCTGCAAATAATCACATCTTTTACATCTTGGATGCTTATACACACACTTATTACATGCCTTTCTTCATAACCTTGAATATGTAAATCCTTGAGTCCCTGAAGGCCCTAGGTTAAATCAATTCCCACATAAAGGTATAAGAGGAGGGCAAAAAGATGTGATCTCTCAGCTTGGATGGAGACCCTGCTACAATAGTCATTCTTTCCACAGGGCAGGGGTCTGGTTACTTGGCTCTCTAGAAGAGACATATAACTTACTACTTTTCAAAGCATCTGATCCCAATGGTATAGGCAACTTTAACTGAAGTGTGTGTGTGTGTGTGTGTGTGTGTGTTATGGGGGTAGGGCTTGGCACTGCAATGGCCCTATTTCTGGTCTCCCTACACCAATTCTAGTACTGAATTCTGTTTCTTTCATTTGCAGAAGTCAGGTGTGGTGGCACACGCTGGTAATCTCAGAACCAAGGAGGCTGAAACAACAGGATCACAAATTCAAGGCCAGCCTAGGTCACATACTGTGGTGGTCTAAAAGAAAGAGACCCCCAAAAGGAATGGTATTATTAGGTGAAGAGGTCTTGTGGAGTAGGTGTGGCCTTGTTAGAGAAAGTGTGTCACTGTGGGGGTAGGCTTTGAGGTCTCTTATGCTCAAGCTATGCCCAGTGTCACTGCTTACTTCTTGTTTCCTATGGATCAAGATGTAGAACTCTCAGCTCCTTCTCCAGCACCATGCCATTATGTTTTTCCACCATGCCATTGTGTTTTTCCACCATGATGATAATGGACTAAATCTCTGAAACGGCAAGCTACCCCAAATAAATGTCTTCCTTTATAAAAGTTGCTGTGGTCATGGTGTCTCTTCACAACAATAGAAACCCTAACCAAAACATAAACCAAGACCTTGTCTTTACAAAAAGGATCCTTCTGGGATTAAGGGCAAAATCTCTACCCTCTCTACCCTTTTTCAGGTTTGCCTTTCTCCTGAGCAGAACTCTAAGCCCTTGAAAGATTGTAGTTTTCATTTTGAATTATTTTTGGTCCCATCACAGTCTTTGCCTGGGGGGCACCAAGTAAAACAGTAATCTTAAGATTTCCTGGTCAGTCATGCTTTTCTCTGGTCCTTGTTACCATCTGGTAAGAGGAAAGAAACTTCTAAAGTACCAGAGGCAGAGTAACTGTCTCTGAGGAAGTGTGCTTTAGGGCTGACCGGTCCCAGCCGCAATCTGCAGTTCTCCCCTACTTGGCCCCCAAGGAACTATTCCTATAGAGCTGACGCTCATATTTTCCTTATTTCCAGCCAAGTCACTGCTTTTAGATGTTCCCTGTGCAGATGTGCAGGATTCTTGAACACATCTGCATATCAGAGGGACAAGGGAAGTTGCTTGGCAAGAGAAACTTGGCTCTGCAGGAGTGCTCCACGGGCAGAGCATGAATTGTGAACAGATCTTTCTCTACACTGTTATTTGCCAAAGAACTCAGTCAGAGGTTAGCCTGCCTAGGGATTCTGTGGACAGAGAAAACTGCCACATCTTAGCTTCCTCTGGGGATTGGGAAGTTTTGTGACAGACAACTGATTAAAAGGGAAGGAAAGGAACATGAATTTACTCACCCATTCATGTAAGAGTAGACTCAGAATATGTTTATAGAGGGTTTACTTTGTGCCAAGATGTGAATATTAAAGATGAGGACCTGTTTCCAATCCAAGGTTTGCCATTTTTAAAACCTGAGACCTTCTTCAGGCAAACACTTTAACCTCTTTTGGTTTCAGTTTTCACATCTATGAAATGGAATGACAATAGCACCCACCACACAGGGTTGAGAGCACCAAGATAGGAAGTCCCTTAAGTCACTCAGCAGAACTGCGGTGAGCGCTCAGTGAGCATCAATTCCTCTTCAGCATTCTGCTTGCTCTGCTTTTCTGTGGTCAAGCATCATGAGAACTTTAATATTTTCTCTCATTATTATTTCTGCTTTGCAGTCAATTAAACTGAAGTACTAAGTTCAGATTTAGGATATTCCCTATGGCCACAGGTATATACAAGAGCTGTCAGATCTTTCAAAGTCAGTTTAAGTCAGAAATAAATGTTGTTCATAGGATAGGTCAGATTTGGACAGTCTCAAGGAAAAGGAGACCTAAGGCTATAATTGTGTGTTTTTTTGGGGGGTGGGGTCAGATTGTGTTAAGAGAATATAAGATATTAGCAGGAATAATGTGCTCTGGTTTCAGATTTAGTGGGTGAAGCATGAAAGAGAAAACCAGAGTGAGCTGTAAGGCAGGAGATCAGGAAGAGTAGAAAACAAAGGTACCACAGCCAGGAAGTCACCAAGAACACTGGTGAGAGTGTGCCAGACCTGGCTGTCATGACTTTCTGTCACCGGGCCTGCAGAAAGAGGTAGCAATGAGTAGAACATAGAGGTGAGGTGGGGGCTGAATAAGGGCCTATAGAGAAATCTCTCTTTTTAGAACAATGGTTCTCAACCTGTGGGTCATGACTCCTTTGGTATCAAATGACCCTTTCACAGAGGTTGCTTAAGACCATCAGAAAACACAGATATTTAAATGACAGTTCATAACAGTAGCACAATTATAGTCATGAAATAGCAGTGAAAATAATTTTGTGTTTGGGGGTCATCACAACATGAGGGAGTGTATTCAAGGGTCACACCATTAGGAAGGCTTAGAACCACTGTTTAGAAATTCTGGAACAGTGGTAATAATAAATTCACACAGCAGAACATCCACACTTATGCTTTGGAAATGATTCTAGAAAGAAAAATACAGATCATCACATTTATCCTTTCAAAGTAGGGTTTCAGTTTTGGCCTAGGCTGTGGGAGACTATTTTCAGTTCATTCATTTATTAGTTCATTCATTTATAAGACCCTCCCTTTCAGTTCATTCACCTATAAGATCCTTAGAAACCAAAATTAACACAAAGAGACAGAAAGTAATATTGCTTAGGGGGAAAGGGATATGATGGTGGGTATCTGACTCTGAGATATTTTCCTAAAGCAGCCCATGGACCCATGAGGGGGTTTTTGGTGAAACCTACTTGCAAAAGGAATACAGTGGATATAGACTGAGAAAGATGAACATTTGTCCCATTTTAGACTGAAAGAGCTATGTTATTGTGGCTATAGTTTTTATCCTGGTGGTTTGAAATAAATAGGTTGGACCTTTGGTTGCTTCTTCCCAATGGACACTGGGAGTCCAAAGTACCATTAAAGGTAATCTAAGCTGTAACAAGCAGGGCACTTCACAGAATGGGTTAAACAAGAAAGATGCAATATGCTAGACACAATGAGATTATTCTTTGTGAGGCTGTGTGCCATGCTACTTGGAAACATCCAGAAATATCTGAGTGAGACTATGAGGAAAATTAGACTCCTATTATCAGATAGGGAAGAGCATGGGTTAGCCAGTCACAAGTGGTTACTGTAAATAAGATCTCAGTAGTGACCACAGACGAGGTTAGTCTAGAAAAATATTGCATACACTTTGCTTACATGCCTTGTCACTCTCAGAGGTCTTGGAGGATTTCTGAAGACAAGTATCCTTAATAGTCTTTCATGTACTCCTTCCCTCACTACTGATACTTCGTTGGTCAGTAAGCCCTCTCGTTTCATCTTTTCAAATTCACTTTTCTACTTCTTGGGATTTTATTTTGGGCACAGGAGTAATAGAGTCTACTTCTTCAGTAACTAAAGGTAATAGGGAAATTTGATTTATGTTAAATGTAAGAAATAGAAGAAGCTATGGAATGTAGACTTTTAGTGATCTTACGCTCTGACATCACATATCTGAAGATAGCTTAATATTCTGTTAAAGATGAATGAAGGAACACATAGCAATCTCTGAGAACTCTGCCATGACGGATGCTGGCCTCTGGTGACATGTGATCCCATGCTCAAGGCACTTATGGTATAGGGAGACAGAAACGCAATACACAGCAATGCTCTGTTGTCGCCACCATCAACAGTGGCTAAGCCGAAAGAACCAGACTGGTTACTGTGTGGAAAGACATGGCTCAGGCCATTCTTCAGGTGATTTCTTTATCTTATCCTCTGCTGGAAGATGGACCTAGTTGATACAGGAAAGGGGGAGGGAATGAACACTCCTCAGCACCTCCTTCTCAAGACAGGTAGTGTGGAGTATGAGAAGAGCATAAGACTTAGTGTGCAATAGCTTTGAGTAATAATCCTAGTTATACTATTTGTTAATTGTGTGACTTCAGTCAAGTCACTTTCTCACCAAGTCTCAAAGTCTTCACATGTACATGGTGGGCAGGGGAAATTTATTTATGCAGTATATGAAATTCTCCTGGTCATAAAATAGGTACTCAGTAAACAAAAGCCATTTTACCCAAAATTTCAGATTTGTAAATGTTTGTAAGTGTTCAACAAATATGCGAACTTTCTATGATAAGCTATGAAAATTTTGAGTTTATCTATTCCAGCAGCCTACCCAAACCTGTATCAACTAACACAAAGAGCAGGGACGTTGCCTTCCCCTGGTCTCTCATCTGAGGTAACCAGTTCAGACCTGTTCTCTCCGTTCATTTCATTTGGTTCTTTTTTAAATTCCATGTCTCTAATTTGACCTTTGGAGATTCTAGCTGGTAAAAGGCCCAGGTTTTCCCACATGCTGACTGTCTGCTGTGCTTGGGTTTAGTCCCTACATATGGAACCAGACAGCAATACTTGTAACTGATCCTGCATGGAGGCCTCTCCCTCCCTTCCTCTTCTCTCAACTCTAGTTCTCTGGAAAGTATCAAGAATAAACAAGAACACATGTGGCAGGAGAATTCTTCTCTCTGCTGTGTTGCCAACAAACGAGGCACAATAGGTGAAGGTCCTACACTCTGATTCTCAGCAGACTGGGGCAGAGAAATGGGGCTAGACACTCGATGAAGAGAGACTCAAGTGCTTCAGGTAAGACCAATGTGTGCCATTAGCTGAAGGACTAGGAGTTGCTTCTAAGACCATTCTGATACACAACTTACTCCTTGTCCTCCTCCTCCTCCTCTTCCTCCTTCTCTTCCACTGTGCTAGCAACAGAACCCATGGTCTCACACAAGCTAGGCAAGTGCTCTCCCATTGAGCTATGCCCTCTCCCACAATAAATAATTTTTTTTCTTGGAACTATTTGCAAAGAGTTGTCCACAGTCACAAGGCTGTCTAAACAAAGAGACAGGACCTTGGATTCAGGACTCTGAATCCAATCCCTGTGCACCCAGAAGCTTTATTTGGTCTTCAACAGTGGTTTCCTATTTTTCAACTGTGTGTTTTGGCTTTCAAGATTGAAATGATAGGAGCCTCATCTATATAGGTTTTCTAGGCTTCTTGGGTTGTTTCTACTGCCCTTGAAATTTTTACTTAATTTACCTGTTAGGTTTTGGGATTTGTTTTTTAAGCCTTCTTTGATGTTTGTTTTGGTCTCTCTCATTCCTATTTAAGTCATCTTCTTGATTCTGCCCCCATTTCAACTCATCTGGCTTTTGACTGACTCAGCTTCTCTATTAGACTGCCTTGGGGGCTTATCTAGAAAAGTACACTGTGTTATACCTTATAGAGCATTAGGGATGGAAAGGGCCTGACTTTATGGCTTGTAGATTCTAGTGTGGTTAATATAGCAGTGTCCAAGGCATGG